CAACCCAAACTAAAGCATGATATATACGTAAACAATACGGTTGCTTGCCCAACAAATGGCAACCCAAACTAAAGCCGGAAATCCGCCGGAAATGTTAAATTTTTAAAAAAAAATTATTTATTTTTCCGCCGGAAATCCGCCGCAAAATGTTTAATCTTTTTTAATAAAAAATTTAAAAATAATTCAAAATGCCGCCGGAAATCCGCCGGAAATTTTATTTTTTTTTTAAAAATATTTACTTTTCCGCCGGAAATTCGCCGGAAAATATTAAAAGGGTTTTTGATTTTTTTTTAAAAAAAATTCTAAAATATTTTCCGGCGGATTTAATTTTAAAGAATTTTTAAAAAAAATTTAATTTTTTTTAAATATTCCGCCGGAAATCCGCCGGAATTTATAATTTTAAATTTTTTTCAGTTATTAATTAATTTTTAAAGATTAATTAACAATTAATTAACAAATCCGCCGGAAATCCGCCGGAAAAGCAACCTGTTTAATTTTTCCGGCGGATTTCCGGCTGATTTCCGTCGGAAGTCAATAAAAGTCAATTTTTTGACTTCTGCCGGAAATCCGCCGGAAATGCCCAGTTTTCTAGTAGTGTAAGATTTAACATTACAATTAATAAACCAACATTACACAAAGTCTAGATTAAGGATGGGTGTTTATTAAAACCCAACAACAACTGTTATATTCAAAATACGAAAGATGTACCAGATAGCTAACTTTTTTCTTGTGCCTCTAGCTAGCACTCAACTCTTCATAGTGTCGTCACTACCATTCTCCAACAAGGACTTGATGCATATGCCGACAAGAAGAAAGTCTTAGGTGGCGTTTGTTTTCTAAGAGGTGCTGAAGTCTGAAGTCTGAATTCACTTCTGATTTTTAAGAGGTGGTGCTGAAGTCTGAAATCTGAATCAATCAGACTGTTTGTTTTTTGTGTCTGAAATCTGAAGTTTGAAGATGAGAGATCGAGAGTTGATATAGATCGACAGTTGACAGAGTTGAGAGATGAGAGATCGAGACAGAAGAGTTGATCTAGAGAAATCGAGCGCAAAGAGATAAGAGTAGGTAGGCGACGATTTGAAATAAGAGGTAATAAGAGGTTTCTCAACCACTTAAATTTTCAGACCTAATAAGAACTTTTTAAGCTCTTAAATGAAAAAAAAACAAGCACACTGAATCCTCTTATGTCTGACCGATTCAGACTTAAGAGGATATTAAGAACGTTTTTATTAAAAACAAACAGCCCTTTAGGCTTAAACCCTAGTGAGTTCAAACAATTTTTATCATAAATATAAAAGGAAAAACTGAAAGACTATTTATTTAAATCATAATTTCTTAAATGAAACGTTTTATCATAAGGAACCATCTTCCAAAACCCATCAAATTCTGATGAGAACTTATTAATTGAAATACACATGCAACATTAGACTAAAACTCAATACTATTCAAGTATTGAACACATTGATAAAACTTTATTGTCTAAAACATTAAAAACGGATAAGTTTTAATATACAAAACCATAAATTATGGATACATTACATATTTAAAACAACACTGAAAACATAGATAATACAATCCAAAAATAACACCTTTCACTGACGAGGTAAACCCGTATCTAATAAATGTGGCGAACTCAAAAGTAAACAACAATATTCATGTTATGAGTCTCACTACGAGTCAATGGTCATCAACTTCATCCACCCATGGTGTATACCTTGCCCGAGACCCTCGATAATCTTAGACATGCCCGTTCATTTAAAATAATACCATACGATCAATGACATGTTCAACTCCATGAGCCGGCACCACAATGCTCCCGATGACCCAATCACTACTAGAATAATGAGTACTTCCGACGCCAGGAAATATTCCGGCGGACTTCAAAAAAGTCAACTTCTATTGACTTCCGCCAGAAATATTAGTATGATTATATTTCCGGCGGATTTCTTAATTAATTATATTAGACTTGTATTTTAATTTAATCAAAATCATTTACTAGCGGATATCCGGCGGAAAATTAATTAATCTTTTAAAATTATTATACGCCGGAAATCCGTCAGAAATTTATTCGAAATTAAAAATCAGTTTTTACATTTACCGACGGATTTCCGGCGAAAAATTAATTAATCTTTTAAAATTATTATCCGCCGGAAATCCGCCAGAAATATATTTGAAATTAAATTTGGCCGCCGGAAAAGTGCCCCTGTTTGGTAGTGAATGTTGATTTCTAACTACAATACAAGAATAACCATCCAATTTTAAACCACCAAATGGACTCAAAAATTACACCTTATGGTCAATGATCGATGTACAGCTCCAAAAGCATGCACCATAATCCCCCGATGACCAAATGCTTATTTCTGGCCACAATACAGGAATAGCCATCCCATTTTAAATCAACAAAAATAAACTCTTATGTATAGATCCATTACATTATAGTCTAAATTACATGACCTCGATTGAACGACTAACACACTCAAAACATGTAATTTTCCAAACAAATATATCATAAATGCATATCATGTCCAAAACTTAATTTAGAGAAATTTAAACTAGAGAAAT